GGCAAAAACTCTCCCCTTTCCCTCCTCCTTCCTATTTTTTTATATATACAATTGTATATTATTAAATAATAATAAAAGATGGTATTATAGCATGCCAAAATAGTTAAAGTGTTTCACATGAATTCAAGTCCTTTCGTATAGACACAGTTTTTTTTTAATCTTTTCCAATTTTCTTGAATGGAAAGTGAAACATTTTTAAAGGCCTTTATATTATATGTTTAAAATATATCAAGATATTATATTTTATAGCAAACAAAAGTTAGAAAGTTTTTTAAAAAGCTATTTAAAATTTCTTAAAACATTAAAAAGCTTTTAAAAATTTCTAAAAACATAAAACACCGTTATAAATTTGTGCGCATGTTTTATTATTAAATGTGTTATAGAGATGTGTTATATTATTATATGTTTTATAGAGATACTCAAGTTATTAATGCGCTTAGTTATAACTTAGGACAGCGCATTTTATAAAAAAAAATTTACATGCTAACTTTCATTTTCTTTAAAATTAATGGTGGAAGTTTTAAAGTATTGAACATTAATCGTTAACTCAAAACAACGATTTTTATATTTTGCTCTTTTTTAAAAGTTATTGAAATCAAGCAAAATTATTAAAATAGTTGGTGTGGAATAGACTTACCATGACCAGTATTATACGAGTCATGGTAGGTCCGTTATTTTACATATTCAAGTCAACTCGTGTTTTTTAAAACTTTTTTTATACCGAAGGTAATTTACACATTTATAGCGGGTATTAGCCTAATTTATATAACGCGATTTGTAGGGAAAAAAAATTAAAATGATAGCTTTATAAATAACAACCAAAACCCTGTGAAGTCTATTTTTGAATACAGATAGTTTTGTTTATATAAGTTAAAAATCTTTTTTAATAAAAATAGTGACTTCAGTTTAAAGTCGTATTATGTCAAAAAAATTAGATTGATTGAGACGAGAAAAAATGAGTTTTCAAAAGTAAATCGTTTTTTTTTAATATTAATTGTGAAGTATAATTATTATGGTCTTTTAATAGAAATGTTTGTTTCCAAAACGAAATTATACGTTTGAATGCAGTCTTAATCCGTTAGATATACCTCAAGTAACATCAAAATGGTCTTCAGATGAAACTTGTACCCTCTTGTAAAGGGAAGATTTTAAAATTATTGCTCGTATAAAAAGAAGGGGAACTCTAGCCAACTGGAAAAAGCTGTAAGAACGCTACAGAGCAGAAAAATTATTTCAGTGAAATCACTGTAGGATAATAATTTGTGATATTTAGAGCATTTTTTTGAAACTAATGAGAAAGTTTTAGAATTATTGTGCACACAACAACTAGAAAAGTTGTACAAACTGTCTTCAAAAGGATCTATACCTATGGTTTAATTTAAACACATAAAACCAAAATCAGCCAAATTTTAAAAAAGTATGGTAAATTAAAAATATCTCCTGCTGATCCAAACCCAAAAAATTATAAAAGAGATTTAACTTTGAGAGCAAAAAAACCAAAAGAACAGTTGAAAAACAAAAAACCTATTAAAACACACATTTATTCTGTTTTAATTTATTCAACATTTGAGACACAGACTTCTATTGGACAACATTTGCATTACAGATATACATTAAGAACAGCTTTAGCATTAGCTGATTATCAACATTGCAAATCACAACTGTTTGATTAAATGTAATAAAAGTCAACAAAGAAAAACTAAAGCAAATAAAACATTACGTAGATAATAACTCTTTAATTAAAAATGATACTAGTACAAGTGTAAATATACACCAAAACGATTCTTTTATAAATATTATAATAAATCAGAATACTTTGAAAAAACAAGTTAAAACTACAGATCTATTATACCAAAATTGCAAAAACATACCACTACATAATGAAATAAATTAGCAACTGAAAAGTGATTTTGAAAAAATATTTAAGTGTTTTGAATTCACCAAAGCCTCATGGTAATAATTTTATGTATGTAGAACAAGGTACCGATAAATGCCATGAGTACCGAAAGTTTAAAATTACTGCAAGTTGACTACCGGCATTACTAGGGCTACATAGAAATGTAAAATATTCACTGATTTGAAATGTCGTCAAATATAGTACTAGCGCTCCTGATATGAGTCATATAAAATATATTTAATGTGGTATCTTATATGAAAACATAGCAATAAATAACTTTGAAAAAATTAGTAAATCCAAGATTGAAAAATGTAGATTCTTTGCTCAACCTTTTGATAAAAAGTATGGATGCAGCCCTGATGGTTTAGGTCCTTGCAGGATTTTATTAGAAGTAAAAACTCATGCACAATTTACCGATGGACCTCTAACATATCTTAGTAATTATTCACAATATTATGTTCAATGTCAACTTCAAATGCTATGCACTGTTGCAAAACTTTGCGTTTTACAGCCGTATCACCCTAAAACAGAATCCTAAAACTTTTTTCTAGTTTGTTGTAATAACACAGTGATGCAAATTATCAAAGAGGTCATAGATTATATCTACCACAATTTTATATTATTAAAATGGAATCATATGGAAATCAAAGAGTTCAATAAATTTTTAAAAGCTACTTTTGGTCAAGTTCCAGATTTTTTTTACCCTAAAGATTTTTTGCGTCTAATAATTTTTTTTAAATATTTGATATCTTGAGTTGCGCTGGACTTAACTGTTTTTTATATTTGTTTTGTGAAGGCTCTTTTTGTATTGATAACATGAAAGAATGGTATCTATTTTAACAGGATTACTTTTATTTAAAATATCAGTTAAACTTTCAGTTGCTACTTCGAATTTTTGTTTTGCAGCTGTTAAACGACTTTTTATAATGTCACTTGGGTTTTTAAACTTTTCATTTGTTTCCTTGGTATTTTTTTCTACTATTTCGTTATATTGAATTTTTAGAATAACAACTTTGGGTAACAATGTTGCAATTTATTGTCCATTAATCCAATGAGCTACGCAAATGTGACCATGATCCAAATTTATTCTAACTGTTTTAAAAAGATTTTTGTATTTGTTCTAAATAGCATGCGTAAGACGAAGTGAAGTTATTAAAAAACATAGAAGAAGCACATGTTGCACTTTATCATCCATTAATCCAATGAGCTACTCAAATGCGACCATGATCCAAATTTATTCTAACTGTTTTAAAAAGATTTTGTATTTGTTCTAATTAGCATGCGTAAGACGAAGTGAAGTTATTAAAACACATAAGAGAAGCACATGTCCATCTCACCATTTTTAAATCTAGGATAGTCAAACTTTTTTTATGAATGAAAAATACAATAGAACAGCTTTAAGATACGCTAAAAAGTTTAAACAAAGCAACCATTTTAATTTTTTTCTCTATAAATAGACCCAGGCCGCTGACGTGAATTTGGCTCATTCTAAATATTATTTAGACTAGTTTTAATATCTAATCATTAATAAATAGCGATTGGCGCAATGTCTACCGAAACATTTATAGTTTTTTTAAATTAGTTATACAAGAATTATATTTTTTTATAGCTTTAAAAAGTAAACACTAAATCAGCGTAGTTAAGGACAGATCCGAAGGATTTGTATTTCTTAAAAAATAAAAATATACATTTTTAAACTTCAATTTTTTGCATTTTCCGCTTATTTTCATATGTAACTATAATATATTTAAAAAGTAGATTTTATGCATTATTATATGATTTATTATTTTTTTTATAAATCTTTTATTAATCAAAGCATCAAGCAAAACAAAGCTACTACCAAAATACATAAAATGCGACTTGGCAGCATCATTAAAATAGCTGAATCAGTGTTTACGTTCCAAAAATGTCTCTTTTATTCTAAAGTAAAAAGACTTCTTGTTTACAGCATTAAAATATTAAATAAATGACTACAAACCTCGTAGTAAAAACTATAAAATTGAAGTTTCCACATTAGTTTTTACTCATAGCAGTTTACTACTATAATCTGTTTACAGTTAATTGAACAAATTACTAAACAAAAACGTTTGAGCTTTTGTATAACTTCTGCCCCATAGTATTAAGAAAAAACTTTGAATTCGTAAAAAAAATAAAAAAAAATTGAAAAAAAATTAAAAAAAAATAAATAAATAAAAAAACGAGCTTTGTAATTAAAAAAAAATAATCCAACAAAAGTCGCATAAAATAAAACAATATTTTTCGAGAACGAAAGGGCCTAAACGCTATATTTTTGTTCGGATCTCTCCTAACGAAGCTGAAAAGTATAATTTTTTTCTGTTTTTTTTTACCGCTTACTAAAACATATTTAAGTAAGGAAGAAGTATAAAAAAGGTCGGTATCGATTTGATATACCAAGACCCGTACTTTACCGGTCATAATGAGCTAGTTTAAAAATAATTTTTTTTCAAATTTTTTTTCAAGTCAAATTTAAATACAAAAAAATCAACAGTAAAAAAAAAAAAAACGACGAAAATGCTGACTTTTTTCTTTTTGATAAAAAAGAATAAATTTTTGAATTTTTACGTTTTAGTAACAAAAAAGTTTCAGTTTTATGTTTTGTAAAAAAAATATAAACTACTCTTTTATGGTTAATTATACTTACTATTATTTGCTACCAAGTTAAAGCAATACTTAGTTTTGGCCTAAAATTGTTTCCAACAAATATTGTAAGTTTCTATAAATTTTGGTTTTAAAATACTTTAACAATCCTACATTTATTTTTTAAGATAGTTTTCCAAGTAGGATAAGAATGAATACTTTTTTTAAAGACCACGGATGAACCCCAAGACATTTTTTTACAATAAATAAAACTTAAAAATATGACCTAAAATCATACTCTTTGAGATATTAAATCTGAATAACATTAACATCATGTAATTGTTCAGAAAAACTTTGAAGCAAAACAGTCAAGTCTATAAAAATCAAATAAATTGAATTCTTTGTGTTTTAATAGGCATCATTGCCTATTAAAATAGGAATGATTTTAAGTATTAAATTTACTAAATTTTATTAATTTTTAAATACATAAAATTAAGTCACTTACATTTGCGTAAGGTAGATTTCCAGTTAAAGTAGCTGAAGTGTAAAATTGCTGGGGTTGATTGCTGTTTTGATATTGAGGTGTATTTCTAAAATCTAATTGTTGCTGCACAGGCATTGTTGTAGATTGGTTATAAGGAGGTGGTTCAGCTTAAAAATAAAAATTATTATTTTATAAATTATATTTTTTTATTTCATATGCAGTATACAAACCTTGTTATGCTTCATAAAATTTTTTAATAATTGTAATAAAATAAGTATATAAAGTAATAAATATTAAAAGTATTTTAGATTTTAGTGACATTTTGTTGTTAAAAAATAGACAAATATTTTTAAATTCAGCTAATAGCCGACCCAATATAGACATCTGTTAAACGTCGAAACGAAATTTAGACAAAACATTTAGTTTTTGGCAATTATCTGTTCAGAATGAAGTCCAGAATAAGGTTTAATAAACACGTTTATTAGACGTTAAGACTTAAACGTATGTTTTGGTGTATATTATTATACGTTAAAATGTATAAATTGTTTAGATTTAAATCTATATAAGCAAGTTTAAATTTATACCGTTATTTAGCGTTTTGAATTGCTCTGAATAATATTTTTTTTTAATAAAAGGATTTTATTATTTATTCATCAGTCTTGTTTAACTTCTTTGATAGTATGATAATATAATAACAAACTAATAATGCACACTAACACGCTGCTATAAGATACAGTTTCGACAGTATATTATATTATTATATATTTGTATAGTAATTTTGTACAGTATATTATAATATGGTATTGCAGTCATTCCACATCCACATCGACTAATTGCCATATAGAGGTTACATACAAAGGCCTGGTAAAAAGAGTTCAGCTCACTAAAGAGTCATAACCCGCTTCAATTGACTAAGAGTAAATGAGTTTAAAAAGAACGGAAAGTATCAGAGTGAAAGTTAGAAGAAATTGAGTTAGAAAGACAGCATGAAAAAACCGAACAGATATTGCACAGGATATTAGAATGTGCAGTGTTACATTTAAATATTGTTTTGTTATTAACATTTTATAATACTACACATATATATGTATTGATATACATGTATATCAAAGCAAGGTTTTCAGAAATATACATTAAAAAATGCTATAAGATTTTAAGTAGCGAATACTATTTTTTACAAACAATGTAGTTTTTGTAAATATGAAAAATCTTTTATTTAAGTATAAACTTTAATGTTTAACATGTCTAAAAATCCTATTGAAACGAAGTAATAAAATTTTTAGACAATCTAAGGGTTTAAACCTTTTAAATGAAATCATCAAAGTTATCCAAGCTTTATATATACAAGATTATATAGAATTTGGCGTTTTTAAAATAATATAGAATTAGGCTTTCAAGATTATATAGATTTAGGCTTTATTCTTTTGAATATATACCTTAAGAGTAAACTGATCTAAGAGTAAACGAATTAGCTTTAAACTGGTAAAATTTGTTTCAATTATTAGTTGATAGTAAAAACATTTTATGGTTTTTTTTTTTTGTTATAGTAGTTTTTTTACAGAAAAAATAGTTTAAAAATTAAAAAATAAATTGATTAATATGAAGAAAAACAAAGGTTTACTTTTACTTGATAATTAGGAACTGTAAATTAGTTAAACTTCATCTACATATGATAAAGGTATTAGGAAATCATACTTATTTTATTAAAAATAAAATGAAAACTAATTTTATAAGAAGTTAAGTTTACAAAAAAACTCTTTCAATCAAACATACGAAAAAAACTATTTAATAAATATATAAAATTGAATTGTTTTATGGTCAGAAGCAGGTCCGCTACAATATGACTTTGTTGAGCGTACACGCGAGCAGAGTTATTTTTCTTTTTTTTTTTTTTTTTTTTTTCTTTTTTTTCCGCTTTATATATTCACCATAAAGACATTTTATATATATAAATAATGGCCGGAGCAAGAAAATCCCATTTGTTGCCTTTAGTATGATGTTTGCTTCTGAAGATTAACTTAATATTTTGTAAAGTAATATTTCGTATTTTTTGATTTGCTCCACTGCAAGTTGCAATTGCTCTTCAGTGTATGTTGTTTAGGTTTTGCAAATGTAAGTACGAGCCATTTTTTATTTTAAAATTTTCAGATATATAGCAAAAATATATTTATTTACTTTTTAATTAACTGATATTTATTAATTTAGTTGCGCTCATCTTAATGCATAAATAATTTTAAATATTGACAATTAGCATGCTACTCTTCCTCTAAAAAAATCTTTTTTATAATTTTATTATTATTTTTGCTTTTAACATTTTTTCAAAACTAACAAACTAGTTTTAAATAGAAAAAATTGATCATCATAAATTTGCTTCGAAACAGTCTTTTCAGCTTAGTAAAATTTAATTTTAGATTTAGGAGTTTTAAAAATGAGTTTTTTCTAAAAAATGTTTTTGTATACAAGGTTAAGAATTTTAAAGTTTGATTAGTTGATAAAAGTTTTTTGACATTTTTTTTACTACAAAATTTTTTTATTTTTTTTACTACAAAATTCTCTACAAGTCATACTTTACATATTTCTAAAGGTTTTTTGTCTCAGCTTTAAACTAATGATAAAGAAACAAAAACTGCTTAACTGTTCACTTTTTTTTTCGTTTTCACCTACCCCAGTGTACTCTGCATTACAGATATAGAAGGTTTACAGTAATGACTACAATCAAATAATATTAGAAACGTTTCAAGGAACTTTTATAAAATATTTGAAATGTACGCTTTAATTATTTTTGTGCATACATTTATTAAAAGTTTATAATATAGATTTCTGTTGGTCAATATTCTAAACGTTTAATCAACGTATAGACAAATAGTTTTGTAAGGTTCGCTTTAACTCTTTTAATGTATACGTTTAATAAACGTTTACAAACGTTTTTATTTATGACTCATGTTAAACATGAGTCATAAACATAAACATTTAGCAAACGTTTAATAAACTTATACATTAGAAGAGTTAAGCGTACATTACAAAACAATTAGTTTATACGTTTATTAAATAACAATGATAAAATTCATCATCATATAAAAAACCAAACTAATAACTAAACCTGATTCAATTTCAATTAAAAGCACCTACAAACTTAGTTTCAGCTTTAGCAAACGCAGAGTCGGCCAGAATCGGTCAATATTTAGTCAATATTTGTCAGAAAATAAACAAAACGTTTAGCGACTGATTATTAACCAAAATTAGACGGTTGGTTATGATTTTTATTTTACGCTTTTATAGGTATACGTTCATTAAACGTCAAGTAAACATTTAAAATATTGACTAAAGTCAACATTGCAAGCGTTTAAAATATTGTTAAGATTCTTATAAATATTTAATAAACCTCTTTGAAATAACTTGAATCTTTTAGTTGCATTTTAGTTCTTAATAATCTTAGATAACATAAAGATGGTGTTCCTCTAAATACATTTTTACTGCTTCTTTTTTTTTAAAAAAAAGAGATTGCAACGTACTTTATGAATGAAGTTCCGACCCACAATGCTCTAAATTTTGATAAACTATTGTTGGGGACAACCTTTTACAACAAAATCAATCTAGGCAAAAGTAATATTTTTTTTAATAGTTCTTCTATATATTTTTTTTACTTTTATAAAAACTTGGTTAAAAATTAACAAGTGTTTAACGACAGTTACTTCTCAGTTGCGTTTGCAATAGTAATTTAAACCATAAAGTTATTAGTGAACCTAGTGTAGTGAATTTGAATTACTTAGTTAACTTGAGAACATTTTATTCCAACCCTCCTATAACAGTTATTTTTAGCTTGTGTATCCTTCGGATATTTATAGTTTGAACGTGCAAAATTTTATTTTTATTTTACAATTTCTGCAAGGTACCTTTATCGCGCAGAAAGAAAATAGATTTATGTCTGTGTTTCTACTTGTTACATGCCAAGGTACAGCTAATAGTTTTTGCATAAGTTGTAAGAACAAATTTACATATTAAAATGCTCAAATGTTAAACATTTAGTAACTCAATGGATCAGAGACGAAAACAAGTTAAAACTTTTGGATATTGCAGCATGTAAGTACGCTTTAGAAGATTTCAACTGTTGTAAAGTACGTAAGGCTCCTATTGCGTAGCGATATTATTTAATTAACCATCAAACTAATAGCTTAATGTTTATTAGCAAAAAAATCAAATTCGCAAGAACAAAAATGGAACAACATCAAAATAATAGCTGATAAAGTTTTAAGAACTAAAACGGATCAAGAAATATCCAAGAACAGTTACACAACCATTTCAATATTCTGGTTCTGGAGCTGACAAAAAGAGCTATTCAGCTATTCTAGAAGTAAAGCTGAGATTAATAAATTTGTACGTGGCACGGATGCCCGTATTAAAACAATGCAAACCAGCAGTGGCAAGAGCATGCTATAGACATGGACTCAGCCAAGTCTAGTATCTTAATCAGGCGTTTTGGAAGACTTAACACTAGTAAAAGTAGATAATTTATCCAACGTTATCTATCTGAATAAATTGCATCTACAGAATTAAGGTTCAATTTTAACTGTTAATTAAATTAAATTAACAGTTAAAATCGAACAAAGCATCATAGGTTACTTCAGTGCAAATAGTTTTTTTAGCTATAACTGATATAATGTTAGTTATACCAGTTGAAACTGACAATAAGATTTATTGTTTTTATTCAAATAGGTAATTAGATTAATTGTTATTTTTTGAATATATAATATTTTTACTTATATATATATTTACTGTTTTATATAATGTTTTTATTTGAGAATATAATATTTGTTTAGAATAATAATAATTATTTGAATATATCTTTTTTGTCGTTGTTAGTTTCGTAAATAAAAATAAAATAAACCAAAAATAAATATTTGAAATTTTTTTTTACAAATTTCACAAAATTTTTACTAACGAACAAGAAATTATTTATTACAGAAAAGAAAAAGTTTAAAAAAGAATCATGAAAGTCAATAAACACTTTACTAATTACATCAACTCAATTTAATAAATTTTATGGAAAAATTTATTTGAACAGTACCGAAAAGATTTTATGTAAAATAAAAACCTAATAACAAATCTTTTTGTTGGTGTCACATGCCTATGTATAAAACAGAAGTTCCGAAAAATTTTATTTTATTAG